TAATATATGATGAGGACTGTTTGGAACTGCTCTATGCTGTTTTTAAGCATAATTTTAAAGATGCGCTTATACTTTTATATCATTTAGAATATTGATACCAAAAAACAAAACCATTCAAATAGCCTGCCTATGCAATTATTGTCTTAAGAAACTTTACTATAAAATTCATGTTAATATTGTTAATTTTATTAAATAATTGGTCCAGACAAGTGTTTCTTGTTATGCTGCTTATTTTTCATAATAAAGCTTCTTTTTAAGTCTTGTATAAAGACATTCTTACTAATGGTCAGATAAAAACTATAACAACTACAAAAAACTAAATACCCAATTTTTATACACAAGCTGGAACCTCAGAGGAAAACTGAATACTGTAGAGGGAAATTTTTCAGCAGATAAGTTTTTTTCTCTCTGTTAAGAAACTTTTGTTATATATGATAATTTACGAATCCCCACAGAAACAATTTTTACTTATATATTGCAATCTATGTTTCCTAATTTTAAATAATGTAACTTTTCAAAAAGTTGATCATTTCTATTTTGAAAATACTATATTAGATAATTAAATCATGCAAAAATTGGCAGTATTCCTAAATAAAAATTACATTTTGATATTGTTTAAACAAAGATTAAGTTCCTTAATAGAAATCAACCCGACAAATTATTATTTTTAACAGCAACTGAAAATGCTTTTATTTAATGACTTACATCACTATAGTAGTTTATCTTAATGAATGACATACTTTAAAATCACTAGTAAGATTTTGGCAGAATAACTTATAGTGATTGGAAGGGAAAAAATCTATCACATTAGTATGCTGAATTATTAATCAAGCACACTTAAGATTAGTGTTTGATTGTCATGTAATATTTTATGGATATAACGTGTATAGTAGTATAAATACATGCTTAACAATATTTCTCCTGAAATGGAATTCTTTCAATTACTAAGCAATCTTTATATTAAAGAGACACCGAGCTTTATATCATTTGGATGTGGTCACTTAACAGCTTATAAAAAGTAAAACAAAACACAGCTATCAGCAAGTTAACAATGCAAATATTTAACTTTGTACATACGTTTTTATTCATACTACTTGTTCTGTTATTTATGGTATTGTAAGATGCTGCACAGAGTCATTTGGTAGTGAGATGGATGGGACACAAATTCAGTAAATAAATAAATGAAATACTACTTCTGCACTGCTGCTATATTTGCAGTTTGGTGCGTGTTCTGTAGTGTAATATAAAATACAAAATTTATAAAAAACAAAAACGTCTCCAAATTCACAAAATATACCATCCTTGATATTGAGTATTTTAAGTTGACAATTTGGAATATTAAGAAATGTATGAAGAACAATTTTAATGAATTTTTCCTGGCAGTTTCAGTTAATATAATTCATCAAATTATCAAGGATCAAGCAGACTTCTCCGACACTGTAGGTGAGGGAAGATATGTGTCTGTTGTTTGTTGACTAGGGAGCACTCAAACAGCAGAGAACAGGAAGTTGGATCAACCAATCAGCACGCAGGATACATAGTTGGGTTTGGGGAGGTGTTTATGTCAGCCAATCTATGGCCATCTACAACCTATGCTTATTCAACCACCCCTTTGCAGTGTAGGTATGCGGTGATAGCTAAGGGCAGTTGCGGGAAACTCTAAATCGGCCTTAATACTATTGGAGTTTACTGCTTTTTCAGCAAAATGGTTTCTTCGTACCTCCTAAATGTATTATAAAGGATTAGGATTCAGAGCAACTTGGAGCGTGTAAACAAAACATAGAAAGAAATAGAAGTTTCACTGCATGTATGAAAATAACATTGGACATAGCCTTACAACTTAAAAATTCCTTAGGTTAAAGTAACTACCACAAAGAAATATTGCAATGTACAGTATATAAATACATGTCAAAGTTCTAATTGTCCATGTTCTCTTTATAAATTCTCAATTATCTTGCTTTTCCATTCCTCTCTTTTATCCAGCAGTTATAAGCACTGAGAATACAACATCTTCAGGGTCTGTTTAGAATTCTTCTCTTTATCCGCTTTGTGTCTTTTTTATTCTCTTCTGTATATCTGCAAACATTGGGGATTCTCCTTGCAAACCTCATGAAACGCCCTTATTGTATCTGAATCGTGGCTTTTTCGACTGACAGAATGAATCTCAGAAAATAGTATTGATATTAATTTACAAGGGTAATAATTTTATACATTTCTATTATCTTTATTTATTAATAAACAAACTTACTATTATTATCTCATACTATCATTGGTTATTTGGGATCTTTGTATATTTTGATTTATAAGTTGTTGTTTTTTATCTGATACATAGTTTATATGAAGGCATAACAATAAAAAGCATAAACCTTTATGAAGGTTTATCAGATATTCTTTTTAACTACAAGAGTATCAATAATAGTTAGAATACTTAAAAGTGTAATTTTAAATTTAAATACATTAGGGCTTAATAATCGGTTTTGAAAGCACTATTGAAAGCTTAAGTTTCCAAACATTTCTAGTCAACGCAGTCACTCAGAAGAGGCTCATGCTTTGTCTCACCTTTTCTGAGAAGGGCAATTTATTACATATGGAATTTTATGAGCATACTCACAAACAGCTTCCATGGGACAGCTATGGTGACATCTATTTACCAGAAGGGAAACTGAGCATGTTGTTCCTCATCACTTCCATAGCCTCAACAATGCTATCAGATTAGTTATCCCACTCCACTGAGTAGCTTTAGACAAAAGAATTTATGATAACCCAAAATATTGTAAGCCAATCTAAAATATGTTCTTGACAATGCATCTCTTCTTTTCCAACAAAACAAGTCAAAGCAGTTTTTTTTAAAAAGGGGGGATTAGAATTAGATTAATCTAGCAACAACTGAAAATATTATTTTCCCTTTATACCTAAACATATGGCGTTTGAAAAAACTCTTTTAACAAACAAAAGGTTTTCCTCACTGTTAAGTACCTTTTATCCCCATTAGAAGTGAAAGTAATTTGGAATATTTTTTCAGCATGTTTGGCCTGGAAGGAAAAAAATAGTATTTGCAACTCTTTTTCCTTACATTACAGCTCTATAAATTAATTAACCAAAAAATGACTGAAACCTGGAGGTTTTTTCTCATGATAATTATATTAAACCTATGTAGCCATTCTTACACTATCAATGTTAACCTACCTCACAGAGTTGTTGTGCATATTAGATCTTGGCATCATTCTAATGTAATTTGAGATCTTTTGACAGAATGGAAGAATATAAATTTAAAAAATAAAACTTCTGAACAAATCAGAAGTGAAAGAATATCATTCCCTCTCAAAGACTAAGAACAATTAATATTTTACAAGCCATTTATAGAACTTATAAAGATAAATGTGAAATAAAAATGAATTGATATACAGAGCAGGCTTTTTCCCAAAACATGTAGCGTAGTGTCCACACACACATCCAAGTAGGGCACTGGTATGTCATTTCCCCATTGTGCTTCTTGCACTCAGAGACACCAAGACATAATGCCATAATGAATGATCAATGTGCATTACAACATTCGCTCTTCTTTGTATTGCAATGTATAAGAATGAAAGATATGCATATACACGGCATACAGTTTTTCTATTACTTCCCAATACACTGATACATAATCCTTGAATACAAAAACAAGATTTGGAACCCTTTAATTACTTATTCACACAGAAGATTGTGCCCGTAGTTTGAGGTTTCATAAAATATAGCAGTTTAAATCTCACCATCAATGTATTTTCCACAACAGAAACTAGAAACCGGCAACATTATCTACCATGTTCAGAGTGGATAGCATACTTACTGTTAAATTCAGATAATTTTGCTGATAACTATGCTGGTTTTTAAATAAAAGCAAAGAAAGTTATTTGTGAATAAAACACACACTGATCATGCAAAACAAAGGGAGCTCTCTTATTTATTTTAGGAAAAAGCTAGAGGTCATATAACAGTGTAGCAATTTTAAAAGTTAAATAATATTTGCAAATACTGCTAATTTTGATATAATTGTCATATTTATAAACATGGCAAAATTGCCATACTATTATATACCACTTTCCCAGAATTAAAAAACCCATAAATCAGCACAAATAGTTCTAGAAAATACTTGAAGCATTTTGATTTTAAACTACAAAACTATAGTAATTTTTATATGTTTCTATGTAATACATAAATGAATGAGAATTAAAGAATTATATCCAAGTTTTTATTTTATATTCTAGCTGTATTGCCAAGTAGTCTTCCGTCTTCTTTATGTTTTTGACAATTTTGTCAATATTTTAGCAGCAAAGTTTTAAATCCATAGCGAGTATCATTTCAAGCAAATATCTTTTCTAATTAAGACTATTTTTATTTATAAATCAAAACAACTATTTTTCTCTTAAATACATATGAATGTTTTGTGTGTGCATTTGTGTATATGCACACAAATAAACAAAGGCAGAAACATTAACATATATTAACAGTATATAGATTGCAAACATACACAAGACAGTAGTCTTCTTGAAAATCCAACTTTTGAACACAATCCACAACTGGAAAAATCTCTCCTTTACTGTAATGAAAAGGTTATTTTAATTGTTGCCCAATCATCCAAAGAGCAAAATGAGTAAACTGTTGTCTTACATAATACTAAAAACTCTACCTTATTAATTGTATTATTACTTTCTAAGTTTAGTCTATTCTTTAACAACGCTGTCAGTACTTTCACTTTGTGTATTTAGCTCCTTCTCAGGGCTACAAATCAGGACATTTTTTAAACTGAACATATACAACTAATCAATATCCAAATATTTACATTTTAATGAATAAATAAAATTAAACCTGTGTTAAAAGACAAACAAAATTGTCCCACCTTACCGTACTTACCTTAAACTCAAATAAATAGAAACATCAAAAAACAGCATAACCCAGCCAACGTAATTTCAGACAGACTTCAGTAGCAGAGATATAAATTAAAATAATACAGTACTAACCGATTACATGAGATTAAAATCAGGTGTCCTCGACTGTTCATAAATCGGGGAAATGGCCGCTTCCTCTGAAGAAAACCTCCTCGTCGTGCAACACTAGAAACGAGGGTTTCAGGCGCGCTTATGCAATGCGCATGCTCAGGCACATACTTCCTGCCAGGATACAGGAAACCGCCACCCATCAACCAGCGGTGGGAGGGGGGGGGTAAGGAGCGAACGGAAACTACCGCCAGGAGCGGCAGTGAGGAATCCGGAAATTTTTCACCGCGTCAGCGATTTGTACAAGGCAAGTCGGAGGGGAATCGATAAAAAGGAGAAAGTCTTCCCTCATAAAAGATGCCTGAGGAGAATTGTTTTTAGGTGTACTGGCTGCCACCGTTTCCAACACAAAACCTGACCTGTATCCAACACCCGCTCCCTCCCTCCCCTCGGGGATTGCAGCAGTACCTGCGAGTAGAAGTCTTTTCGCCGCCAGTGGTTCAGAGCGCTGCTACAAGTGCTCCCGTCCGCTTCCACTGCCGCCGATGATTCAAAAAAAAGAAACACACAGCCTACAGCATGTGCTGGGCCGTTATGCAAATGAGCTGTGATTTCCCCTCCCACTCTCTTGGCCACACCTCCTTTGAAAAAGCTGAGGGGGCGGACGTGCGAACGGCATTCTTTCGCCGGCCAATCCGCAGATCGGCCGTTTCGACGGTTATGCAAATATTCCACAATTACTTAGCATATTTTGCTGGAAACTCCTCCCCTTCTTGCAGTAAGGAAATTATTGGTTTGAGCGGCAGATAGTTGATAAGCGAGTTAAGGTGGAACGGAAGCCCTTGTTGATTGTTAAGCTAGAAATTGACGGCAGTGGCAGCAGGAGAAAGTGCTGCTACAGTTTACGAAGCTGACCGATGTAGCGTAAACTGTCTCGGCTGGATCGGTTGGAGTTACTTCGGTGTATCTGAATAGCTTTGAAATCAGCATGTTCCTGAAGAGAGACTTCGTGTTTTGTACTGTTTCAGAGGAGTCCTCAGTGTCAGTGAAATACAATTTCTGTATTCCATGGTAAAAGTAGTGAATAATGTTGCTACACTTTGGAGGTAACTATTGTAAAATTAAGCTTCCGTACAGCTGTTAACTCGTGACATATTTGGAATATCAGTTACGTTTTGATATTCTCACAGGCAAATCTATAGCGTCTACTTAAGGATCAAGTAAACGTTGAGTTCGTTTAGGGTTATTCCTAAGGAAAATAAGTTCACTATTCAATTGTTTTTTGAGCTGTAGGTTCTTTATCCACAGTATATCCATTGTGAATAAAATGTTATGTAATAAAATAGCTTTATTATAAATTGAATGTATCCATCGTATTGAAGCACAATACATTATCTCCACATTTTGATCTTCAGTTGGGAAAATAATTTTAAGCTAGAAAATAATTGAATTGTTATTAAATGGGAAATAGGAAAGGCTAAATACAAACATACCTTGTTTGCTTTTCTAAAATCATACCTTACCAGCTGCTTTTTCCTCTCTACAGTGATTTTCCACACCCTTTTCCCACAAGTCTTTTCTTCCACATATCCCTTCCTGTTTCATTGCCTGCAGCAATGCTATCTTAAGGTATTCTGCAGGGACAAAACTACTCATTTATTCTAAATACTTAGAATAAAGTAGAGTAAAAAGTCTTGATGTTTCCGTTTTAAATTTGTTGATGAAATGAAATCAAACAGTAAACAACAGCAAACTTTTAATATTTAAGACATTTGAGAGAGGTGGAAAATGGAGAAGTGGGAGATGGGAATAAATAGCCAGAAAGAACTTGGTATTTTCCCCCACAGTGCCACCAACTCTAAGCATGCACAGAAGGAGAGAGATTATGAAAGGCAAGATACATTTGCCATCTACTTGTTAGCTTTCTAGAAGCATAGACAGTTGGTCATTGAAATAAAAATTGCCTCATTCATTTGCACTTTACTCTCCATTTCCCCTAATTTTGAAGACTAGTACCGGTAATTCAATCCCATTCATTCTGTAAGAGAATAAGTAGAGGCCATGTAAGCAGGTTATCATCTTTGCTCCCCTCACACACATTTCAATGGTTTTAGCTGTATCAAATGAAAGATAGGTATTAGTGAATAAATAAAGCAATACAGGTAGTCCTTGACTTTCAACAATTCATTTATTGACTGTTCAAAGTTACGGCACTGAAAAAGTGACGTGATTTTTTTTTTCACACGGCGGTTGCATTCCCATGGTCATCTAATCAAAATTCAGATGCTTGGCAATTGACTCATATTTATGATGTTTGCAGTGTTTTGGGGTCACGTCGTCATCACCTTTGGCAACCTGACAAGCAAAGTCAATGGGGAAGCCAGATTCACTTAACAACTGTGGCAAGAAAGGTCGTAAAATGCGGCAAAATTCCCTTAATACTGTCTCATTTACCAACAGACATTTTGGGCTCAATTGTGATAAGTCAAGGACTACCTGTATAGAAGAAGACAGCTGGTAAGCAGCTAGTGATACGGCAACCAATACAGGAAATAATTGCAGAATCCACGACCACTGTCTTCAGTAGTATAAAATAAAGGGTATAAATTTACTAATAATAATTACAATACCAGTGTCCATAATTTGGCATTGTAAGGTATGGGAAGAATTTGATTCCTGGATAAAAATGCCACTGTAATGCTACTCAGAGAGTGAATTCAAGGGGACAAATAAGATGATGAAATCATTGATGATCACCTCTCAGTATTATATTCTACAAAGGGACAAGTAAATGAGCAAGTGAAGTGCCTAAAATGTATAAAAAAAGAGAGTATTTAGGAGCAAGCATCTGTTGTATATTTAATCTCCGGAAGTCAGAAGAGAAAGGATGTATGAACAGATTGCTATTTTTAAGAGCAACAGCTAAACATAAACAGGACACACTAAACTGGTGAAAATTGAAGAATAAATATGATGGAACACAGCTATGCCTCAAAAGATCTATATGACCCTGATAATTGGTAACTTTTTTGATGGCAGTGAAAACTGTTTTGTTCCATCCTAAATTAGATTACATTAAATTACTTGCTTACCTGTGGGCTATTAAAAAATGAGGGATGGTAAATGTCTATTTTTAACCTGATAGACTGGGAATGGTATTTGGAAGTTTTACATCAAATAGTTTTCTGTTTTACTCTGTTTTTTGTTGTGAATTTCCTAGATTCAAATGCATAGAATATAGATACTATACTAAATAAAAATAAATTATCCCATGTTTTTGTATTAGCTGGTAAGGAATAGTGTGCTTATGTTGGCTTTTCTTATCAGTGAGCAAAAGTTTTGGCATAATCAGATTAAAGCCTACTTGTTTCTGTTATGCTAGACACATTTTCTTCTTTTGGAGAAGGATCTTTTGTTGCTCAGCTGCTGTTTCATCTTGACCATTCTACCTATTTCAGTTTAATGGCAGAAGGAGTAGGGAGAGGGATTGGAGTTAGTCAGCCAAAGAAGCAAATAAATAAAATGGTGTTGCTTCTTGGAGAAAATTAGAAGACCATTTTCATTTACCAGCTCTATTTTTGTCACTGGTTGGTGTGAAGGTTGGACTCCTTAAAGCTAATTCATATTAATACATAACTCAGGAACCAGAGATGAAAGAGAAGGTGAGATAATTGCATAATTACATTATTAAGGGGAAATGTTGAGTGGGTAGTGATGCCTACTTGTATTCTCATTAAGCATTCACCCTCTTATGTATATTGGAAGAAAATAAGAAAGAGGAGATGAACAGCACTGTCTTGTTTTGTTTTTAGACTCTACTGCTTGTTCCCTGAAATGGTAGTTTAGATGAGATGCTACGGTATTTAGAAAGTGATAGAACTGGATGCAATTCCTGTCCTTGTTCCTTTTATTGTCTGCCCTAGAAGAAAAAATAGGATTGATGTTTATTGTTGATTGTCTATTGCCCACAAACTGCTTTTCTTATTTTAGTGAGGGGGAAAAAAAGGCAATGCTAACCACCCTTTCTAAATATGTACCTATTTATGCCCTAAATATCCTGTGAGAACAGATAAAGCACAACTAAAAGATGAGATAATGCATACAGTTTAAAAAACATGCTTCGGCCCATCACTTATCCCAATTGGCATCAGGCTGGAACTTATACCAAAATTACTTTTATTGCCCTAGAGCAAGGGTTTATTTATATTTTGGCCCAAATAGGCATTATTAACTACCCATTTAGCATTCCCCTTTAGTGTGCAATTATTTCACCTTCTTATTCATCTCTAGTTCAAGAGTTTTGTATTGGTTTGAATGTATCCAGGAGTCCAACCAGATTTTTTTTAAAAAATAAAGTCATACAAAAATATTGTCAGTTTTCATGAACCAGCAGTTAAATTAGTATCTATTTTAACCATGGTTAAACAGTAATATAGTTTGTGACTTAGCAAAATTCGTCAACCAAGGCACTGTAGTTTGTTCAATTCATTCATTGACTTAGCGCAATGTGATTAGCTATTATTCTGCACAATTTGTGAGTCTCATCAATATCAACTGAAGTTTTCTTTAAAGCTATAATATGGCCCTTAGAAGTCATTTGGAATATAAACTTCTTAATGATTTTAAATTTTAAGAAAGATGTTGAAAATTGAATTTAAATATCTATCAGAGCTATACATTTGTTTGAAGGTATTGTATATTGATATAAAAAAGAACTATCATGCAAAAATAAATGCATGAAAAGTGGAAAATTCTATTTAACATATATTGGATAAAAAGGAACTGTGTATTTTAGGGAAGTAAATATTGTATGTGGACTAAGAAATGTAAATATTTAATATTCATACATAAACTAGTATTAAATATTTATACTTATTAGTCCACACACATTATTTGGTTCCCTAAGATATGGAGTTTCTTTTTTTTTATCCCATATATTTTAAATATAAATGTGTATACCATTTTAGTCAACTGTGCATCTATTTTACACTTAATGGGAATGTGCTAGCTATACTTTTCATGTGTGCTGCTCCACTCACTCATACACACACGTAAGTGTGCTTTAGAGCAGCAGTCACCAACTGGTGGTCTGTGGACTACTGGTGGTCCGCAAGAAAATTTTGGTGGTCCACAGAAAAATTATTTGCATTTTTTATATTGCACTAAATCAGGTGTCCTCAAACTATGGCACATTTGTGTTGCTGCGGAGAGTCTCCCCCTTCAGGGTCTTTTTGTGCGGGTCGGAGGAGAGCAGAAATTCTGAGTTGCGGTCTGCTTCAGCCTCCTGGTGAGTGGCTTTGGGCAAAGGCTGGAGGGAAGCGCCGCTGGTGGTGAAGAGCAGGAGGGCCTTGTTCCAATGGGACTGCATCATGGCCTGGAACTGGCTGACCATCTCAGCCTGCTGAGCCTCCAGGCGCCGGTACCTGGCACTCCTGCAG